GATTTGAAATTAAATTATACTTGGAAGGATTTTGAGGGGAACGATATTGATATAAATATTGCTTTAGGTTCGAGTTTAATGATTTTAAACGTTTGCTGAAGACATTATTGAAGGGTGGCCTTAGGATGTTGGGAAGAATTAGATATTGAATTGACAGTTTGTAGAGAAATTGAATTTAAATATTCTCGCTGGGCACACCTTAGATTGAAATGCTTCACATTCAATGGTCCAAATCAATTCATCTCATGGATTCCAGATCTGTATCTAGGTCCTCACCTATCAATCCTATTTATAACTGCAAACTTTCCTTAAGTAAAAAAAGATATAATAGTTAGTGCTGTTGTAGAATTAGATTATATTTATAACAGCTCATTTTTTTATGTTGTCTTAGAGAACCATGAAGTTTCCTAAATTTTGAAATACTTAAAGCAATCATGAGAATCGTTCTTTGTTTTATGCGCAAGAATTAGTTTTTCTTCATGTAGTGCATGTTAACAAATGGTAATTTTTCACTCATTTTACATAACAAATAGCTATTGTACAGGCTGATTTTTTGGGATACAAATTAAAAAGGCTGATTCTAGTAATAAGGAAAATAAATCGAGGGGCCATTTCTTACCATTCTCTAATTTTTATGGCTTTTGGTGTAGATATATACTATTTAAAAGTTCAAATCATTTGGCAATGTGAGGGACCCAAGGAATTTTTGTGTCTCTTTCTTTGAAAATTTAGTGTAATTTCAATATAAATTAATTATAGTTATTGTTTTTCAGGTATTTTTAAAATTATTTTTCTGTTATTGTTAATGAAATACTGTTTGTGTGACGACAAGCCAAGGCTTGAAATATGCTATGAAATGAGAAAATTAAAATGGCATGAAATTACTGCTTGCCTGATACAATTCATGCCTACCTTCAAGTACTTTAGTTTGTTGCAAATTTGGGTTGATGCATGGGCTCAAATGATTGCAAGATCTAGGATAATGGAAATGCAAAGCCGTTTTCAAGCTCAACTCAAGGAGCACGCTAACATTACTAGAAAGCTTCTGGTATGTATTATAATACTTATTTGTTCTTCAAAGTTTAAATTGCCCTCTGCTCATCTGATAAAATGATTTAATAGAACTTAAATATAGAAAAAGAACATACTTGAATTGAGTTACATGTTTGAATTTTATATAATTGTGAAGCTATTCTAAATTTATTGATTTGTTTTTACAGGAGCATGAATGCACTTTTAGGTTCTTATTGATGTAATTGTGAGATTGCTTTTTCGGTGAAAATGTTTATGTTTTTGTATTTGACCTCTTCTTGTGCCCATTTAAATTTATATAATTGCATTATGCTCATTAAAAACATTTGATACATTAACTATTATGTCATTGGACATTGATTTGATTCATAATTTTTTTTTATAGAGCCTTTACATCAGTATTTATTATAAATTTTGAGTTAATATATTTTTATAAATTTTAAGTTCTATTGAATTGTGGGGCATTTTTTTGGACTGGAGGAGCCCCAATTTTTTTTTAAATGTCACCCTATATTAGACGATTATAACCATAACTATCCAATATAGTTTCTTATATTGCAAATAACTATTCATTATAACATCTTCTCCCAAAACACATATGTTGAACTTCATATTGGATGATGTCAAAGCCTATCCAATATTGGGCTTCAAATATTGGACAGTTTTTATAACTGTTCAATTTTGTTTCGCAATATATGATAGTTGCATATTGGACAATTCTTAATTATCCAATATACCTTTTTTGGTAGTAATGATTCATTAGTAGCAAAATAAAATATTATGTGAGCTAGAGTATATTACTCTGAAGTTGGCTAATAATGAGGCTAAATAGTTAAGAAATTTCTTAGTGAATAATACTGCTTTGAGAGTAAAGCTGACAAATATTATGTTGATGATTTATGTAATTGTCAAATGGTGATGGTCATTGCAAAGAGAACAACGGCCAAATGGTGATAGTCATTACAAAGAGAACAATGGCATAGGTAGATATCATTTTAGATATAATTAAGCATCTAAAAGAAAGAATTATCTCAATCAATTATGTGATATCAAATGTAGATCTAACTGATTCATTAACTAGCCCTATGGATGATTTTAATTATTAAAATGTCGATGGAAATAAGAATTAAGCTTATGTAAAATTAATGGTGATAGAACCCAATCTTTGTGATTGGAAATTCCATAAAGAAGATTCAATGATTAAGAATAAGTCACTTATTAGTTTTGCTAACACTAAATTTTTTTGTCCCTTTCAATAGGTGGAAGTGAGTTCCATCTCTACACCTAAGGAACTCACTCTCTCTCACTTCCTTTCTCATTTATTTTTACCCTCAAACCTCTCTCCTTCCATTTTCAACTCAGATTTATTTAGCAACAAAGTGCGTCGATGGCAACACCATGGAGGATTCAACTCAGCGATGACAATGACAATTGAGACTGGATCAATGACGACCTCGCCCCCTGCGACAATGCTGCTACAACAAACTGGATTGAGTTTCAACAAACGACTGAACTTTCAATCACGTAGCTCTCATTATAGATCTGTTCTCCTTGTGGCTTTCAGCTCCGTTGAGTTGTTCTTTTTGAAGCAAGTTTGTAAAATCTCATTAGTAAAAAGCAGAAACAAACCCCACTGTGTTGTTGCTTCGATCATCTGATCTCTCACGTATCCTCTCTCTGCCTTGGTCCAAAACTAATCTCGCAAAATCGATTATAGGTGGCTCCCATGAATCCACCCAATAGGAGTAATTAGTTTGATGATCTACTATGTCTTCACTTAGGATTTTGCAAAAAGGCCTTGTTGGTCTCCAAGAAAGGTGGACGGCGGTTCTAGATCCTCAGTGAGGGGATCTTGCTTTTTTTAAAAAAAAAAATATGGTATTATGATCTTTTCAAAATATAAATACGTATAATATAAAATAAAATTTTCATCTTTCTACTAAACGTAATTTTAAACTCCTGATTTCACTTCTTGATTTTAACCTAAAGCAATTCCCCGTATACCAATTGAGGCAGAAGGGAGAAAAAAAAGAGAGAGAGAGGAGTGGGGAGGAGAGAGAAGAAAGAGGAGGGTATAGTATAGAAAAAATGCTGCCACTTTTATTCAATAAATCAACAAGGCTAACCGAGAGAAAGGATCTTAAGGTTAATTATTTATAGAACCCGATGTACATTTATTTAAAATTTAAAATAATTCTGAAATGATCTCCTCTTTCAATGTCGATTTGAACGCTTGACATGTGGGAGCCACTATCCTCAATGCACACCAACATGACAGTTAAATATTGACATAATTCGAAAATGAAAATAATGAGAACATCATACTAAATTAAATCCTAATTAATGAAAAAGATATCTAAATACCCTTATTTAAATAAATATTCTAAAAAAATATATTTATAAAATAATCATAATTTTTTAAAGTAACTCTAATAATATTTAAACTAATATTCCATCAATTTCTGTACGAGTAAAGCAGGTTTCATTCTACCGTGATCACATAATGATTTTTTTTTTGTCAACATTACATAATGATTTGAAAAGCAAAAATTTGAAAGTTCTTAAGGGAGAAGGTCCCACGAAACAAACACGTACGACGTAGTTGGAATTGTGGATTGAGGGTACAATAGCTTGCTCGACAGATAATACTCGAATATAATTTATAAGGTAATTTACAAAAATAACAATGACCTTAATAATAAGGTATTAAATTCATTCCCTTCCTTTAATTAGTAAGAATATAATTAAAAAGTTAGGATATTTTTTTAACAAATGAAATGAAATAAACATTAAGCATGTGATCAATGTCCATTGTTCATATCATTTTTGTATCACATTAGTTCTCTAGCTTTTGATACTGTTTAGGGCCATTTGAGCATAATAGAAGCCTTTTAGATTATGTGGGTCAATTCAGTGATTTCCAGAAATTTTAAGCAGAATTGCAATTTCTAAAAGTTTAGGGGCAAAATGTAATTTTTGAAAAGTATTTTTTAAAAATTGAATACTTCATCATTGATTAATTTGATTTCTTCTTTAATCTCAGCCATGAGTTTAATTTGATTTAATTCAAATTAATTTTTAAATTGTTCATTTAATTGTCTCTTAAAATACAAACTTTCGTATTTGAATTAGGTGTAATTTTTCAATACTTTAGAAGTGTACTATGTTTAGATTATATATGGGCTTTTAACTTCAAGAATCCTTAGGAAACTTACCACAACTAATCCCATCTCCTAATGTTCAATAGTTTTATTTTAATTCACTTCATCATATTTTTTTATGGTTAAGTGTAACGTCCTCCTTTGACATTATCAAATTGTTCCCACTCATATCAAATTTGGGTAATTAGAGGTCCTTAAACCTCTAAATTACCATAACACAAATATTCAAAATATAAAATCAATTCCTTTAAAATCATTGGGATCCCAAAAATCTTTTAAAAAACAGTTCAAATCACATAAACATATGTATTTACGCATAACAAGCACATAAGAATACATAAATACCATATAAGAAAAAATAGGGCAAAATAGTCTTTTTGCCCAAAAAGGGCCATGTGCCATGGCACATACCACATGCACTATGGTATGTGGTACGTAGCCACAAATTCACGCTCTGTGTCATGCATCGTTGTATGTTTACTATGTGCCAAAGATTTTGTTGCATGAAAATTTGCATTAGATGAACTTTCAGTCTATGCCATTTCCACATCAGAAGTCTAATTGAAGTGGTATATTTCATAATTTGACTAATGATGTAGGTTTCATTTCAATTTGATCTTTCATTTAAAAATTGGGGAATGCAAAGTGATCACTTTATGTAACTTTCTTACATTTGAACATCCCAAACCACCACCTTGTGTTATTGGCCAATTTTAAGGCCTTCACTACTTCCCATGAGATATTTTCCACTTGATTGACTAATCATATCAATAAAAATATAACCATTCATAGATTTGGCCACCAAAACGTCCTTTTTCACCACATAAATACACAATGTCATGTTCTTGGCCAAATTTCACATATTCACCAACTCAAAATATATAATCATACACTTGTATTAGTATCTTAGCCCTCCTTGCCACATTTCACACAAATTCCATATTATTTCCTACCACAAGGCAAAGATGCACACATAATCACACAAGTGCAACACAGTATATGTATGAATTTCTTTGGCAACTTATAAACTTAATATTATATGCAATAAAAAAAATTTATTAACAGAACTCAAAAGTGCTATTATAGTAGTCCCACTACTCCTTGCTGAGTCTTTCCATCTGCTCTTATCCATATCAGAACCTATACAATAGTAACTACAGGGTGAGACAGATTCTTAGTAAGGAAAATAATCTAAAACTATATACTAATAAGTAAAACTATAAATAAGTAAACAAACATTAATATTATACTTTTTATGTGTGTATGCGTGTATAATATATCCATTTTAATAAATAATTATATTTTCACATATGATCATCTTATCCAACTAATCCCTTGTAACATTCAGGAAATTTAACCCTGATTTATTAACCTAATGAGAGTAATTAGTGAGTTAATGAGGTGTGTGACTATAGGGACTTAACTTGGCATAATTGTTGTAATTTTAGCCCTAATAGGCTACCTGGGCAAGAAAAGAGGAAAAAAAAGTAAAGAATTATTCTATATGCCATATGTTGCGGTGCGTGGTTGGTCCACCATGGCGCATAAAGACAATTTGAATAATGAGCTCTTGTGTGCCATACATCGCGACAAATAGCAGAATGCACCACGGCACACGACCAAAAATTAAATATATTTAGTTCGTTCTGCTTGTGAATATAGAAGAAGAGGAGGAGAGGAAAATGAATAGCTCGACTTAAGCTTTGCTAGGGCACGGCATTGGTGTCCATTGTTGGCATTTTAAAGCTCTTAAACACTCAAGGTAAGTTTATGTGCCTTATTCTTCCATTTTCTCCCTCATTTATGATGAGTTACGGTAGGGTTTTGACTTGAAAGATGGATTTTCAATCCATAGGAGTATGGGTCTAATTCCATTAGTTAAAATAAGTATTGTAGGAGTTGTTTAAGGTATTGGAACACCATATTGATGATTTTAGAAGTAGTTGGTCCGTGGAAGCATTTATTATCCAAAATTTGCATAAATATGGTAGTTGGGAGAGGTTTATGTGCATTAAAGATGGTTTGAGGTGTTGTTAATGATAATATGCATTAATAGAATCTAATGAGCCTATTGGATATAAATGGGTAGTGATTATGAGTTGATAAAAAAATAGTGTATGGAGTTATATGTTGATAAAGCTTCAAGAGTTAGATAATGATGAAATTCTTGTGGTATGGATGTTGAGAGATTTGTTTTTGGCACCATTCAAGCTTGTTAAAGCTTTAGAAAGTTAGTATAGTGAGAGGTAAATCTTTAGCCTCTCAAAGGTTTGAGGTAAATGGAGAAAACTTAATCTTTATAGTTGAATGTTAATTATGTTGTGAAATGTGAATTATGAGTTAAATTAATGATGCATATTGGCAAAGTGTTTGATTTGTAAAATGGTTTTTTGGAAAGAAAACCTTGATTTTGCCACCCTTAATGTTTTATGAAATTGATTATGATTTATTACTATAGGTGGAGAATTGTGATATATTGTGTTGAATTGCAGAGTATTGAGTCATGTGAGTTCATGTATTATGAATTGATTGTTAAAATACATATCATGTGTAAAATATGCATAGCATGATCATTGGCGGGAGTTTGTCTAGGGAGAGGAGTAGATTTGTTGAAATCCATGTGGTATTGACAGTGACCATTAGAATTGGGAAATAGCCTTGACACTGACCGTTAGAATCGAGAGGTAGCCCTTGTCTCATAGTAGATATGGGACTATCCTACTTGTTCTATGAGGGAATCGAATCTAACTAATCTCTACCGGTTTATGAGGAGGCTAGATTAGGGGTACGACACCTAATGGTTATTAGTATTAGGGAAACCGAATTACATAAGTGAGTGAGTTCACCCTGACTTGGTAGCTCCTCATAAGTAGAAGGTTGGGTTAGTCCTGTAAAGGATGTAACCATATGATAGCCACTAGTTTCATGTCGGAAGTAATAAGAGGACATAAGGTTAGCATATGATCAGTTGTATAAAGTCCGACCATATGGTTGTTAGTTTTATGGTTCGGCATGTGTTGAGGGCACATGGTTGTCATTTTTGCGACCCTATGTTATGTTTTTGCTAAATAACATGATAAAGTATTTTGTAGTAAGCCCGATCACATAGTTGTTAGTTTTACAAACCGTGGCTAAGTGTTATGTGTTATCTGTGCTTATTTGCCTAATTACATCTATTTACAATTATATGCAACTGTATAGGTTAAGTGAAACTTGATTACTAAGTGGTTGTACTTACCCCTCAATTCTCAATATTTTCAGGACCTAGCTTATCAGATCTAAGTTGGGGAAAATATACAGAGGCCTAGGATTTGTAGAGTAATCCTCTATATGTCTCTCTTTTGTTACTTTCATGTGTATTTGTTAATGTAACTGCCAAGTAAGATTATTTGACATGATTTATGCACTACTTGCATGATTTGTGTATAACTAGTGTATTTTGTACCTGGGTTAGTTAGTTTTTGGTTGTGAACCTGTGGATAGAGCCAAAATACTTATGCAAGTAGAAAGATATGTACTTTGAGAAATTGGAATGAAATTATTAATTTTGTGCAAAATTTCCTCCCTCTCTATGTTTTGTGAAATCAGGGTTGAGTAGTGATTTTATAATATAAGTGTTTTTTATTATGTGTGGTGTGTTGCATGAGTATGCAAGAGTTTATTGTGTGTGGTCGGATGGTTGTGTGAGCTATTGGCATGTGTGGTTGAGTTGGGACACCCCATTTGTGAAATTGTGTGAAAAAGTGGTCAAAATGGGTTTTGGTGTCTAACTTTTTATAGAAAATGAGTTTAAGTGTGAAACCGGTGCCATTATCTAAAACAAGGAGAAAGCTCCGTGTAGATACTAAAACTACCTCAATCAGACATCAAATAGAGATTTTGGGACACGTCAGAAGTTTATGCCCTATGCTATCAATGACAATACTGATGTTGTCAAAATTTATGCAATGTGCCACAGTGCACAGTGTCTCACGTCGTGGCGCATGGCACAAAGAAGACACGTCGTGGCATACATGCTGTAAGCCACAGCACACGTGACACTTTCTACACAAAATTTATTTGAGTTTTAAAACTTATTCTTTTATATCCCAATCAATTTTTAAGTTTTCACTTTACTTTCAAAACTCTGATGTAGACTTATTAAATAATATTTGAAATTTGAATTGTTAAGATTGGGATTCCTTTAAAAGAATTTTGAGAAATTTCCTTTATAAAACTTTACAAGTTAGTAATCTTTTGAAGGTTAACCCTAGATTACCATGATTTGAAGTCAATTGTGGTTTAACCTCAAGGGGTTATAGTTTGGTATCAGTTTCTCTAGTTCTGAGAACTGGACTGTGGATTGATGAATCAGGTGTGAGTTTACTTGTGAATGGTGCATTTGCATATAGAAAGTTGGCAATTAACATTATATACATGTTCTTTTCCCTTTGAGCTAGTATTAACTATCTTCCTTTTGTGCGATAACTTCCATCCTTAGGAGGGGAGAATGATGCAAACAAGAAATACTGCTAGAAACATTTTGGAAAATGTATCAAGACAAGTACGAGAAGTCTTGGTACAAGAGGAGAACATTGTCCTTAGTGAGCATATTGAGATGGGACAAGGCTCGGGTCAAACTAGAGAGCAACTGAGACCTATAATGGGCAATGAGAATATATTTCTTGAGTTGAGAAGCATGATGGAAAGAATTAAACAGAGAATAGATAAGCATGATGAAATTTTAAAGAAAAGACTGGAAGGGTCAAGCAAGACTATAGAAAGAGTTGGCAGTTATGGTGAAGTGAGACTCGAGAGAGAAATACTTGACCAATAAGAGGAGGATTATTATAAAGAGATGGACCGAGGAGGCTTGAACCAATGAGGCCTAAAGGAAGAGAGCAAGAGAGCTCTATTGATTTAGCCTTAAAGAAGTTCAGAAGGTTGAATCCTCGATCATTTGAGGGTTCTATAGAGAATAGAGCAGGTAAGAGGTAAAGAGATTAGTTTGGAGACGATCTTTTTCGTTATGACCTGCATGTATGAACAGTGGGTATTACTTGCTACATTCCTACTTGAGGATGCCGCCAAGCAATAGTGGGAGAGTGTGAGACTAGCGGATGGGTCTCAGTTGACATAGAGTGAGTTCAAGAGGAGGTTTTTCTCCTACTATTTTCCTACCGCCTTCAAAGCTAAGAAAGAGGATGAGTTTCACCCACTGCAGCAAGGAAACATGAATGAAGAAGAATTTATAGCTAAGTTCAATGAGCTGTCTAAATATTTGACTTACTTGAGGAACCATGATGATGAGTATTAGAAGGCCAAGTAGTTACTTAAGAAGATGTAGCCTGATTACATACAGTAGTTGGCACCCAATATTGTCTCATAGAGTGACATGTGTAGTAAGTTGAAAGCAGTGGCCAGATGTGGTCATGAGGTTGAGGATGGCCAAAGGAGAGATGGTAGGGGTCGTTTCTCTACATATAAGGGTCTTACTGGAGGTGTTGGCAAGAGAGTTGGATATAGCTCTGGACCATCTGGATTGGGTAGCAGTAATAGTAAGAATAAAAGTTTCTAGAGGGGTTCACATTCTAGAGGTTCCCAGATGAGGAGTAACACCCTCAAGAGTATGGGTGGGTGGAGTCAAGCTTTGAGATAAGATTATGCTCCTACGGTAGCTGGATCAATTAGAGCCCTAGAGTGTACCAGGTATGGGAGACACTATACTGGAGAGTGCTGGACATGTTTCACGTGCCACAAGATTGGTCACATCGCTCAGTATTGCCCAAAGAATGCTCCTCACACTGATCAGAGGTCTGCTATTCCTGGTCGTGTGTTTGCTATGACAAGGGAAGAGGCTGAAGCTTTCTTAAAGCTTATCTGAGGTATGATTTCTTTAAGCAATCAATAAACTTCTGCTTTGTTTTATTCTGGTACCACTTACTTATTTGTTTTCGATGAGTGTGCAAAAAGACTAAGTTTGCATGTTGTTAAAATGCCTTTGATGATGAATATTTCTACACTGGTTGGTGCTTTAGTGAGAACCAATTAGGCTTGCTTGAAAATAGAGTTGAAATTTGATGAAATAGTCACAAGTATTGACTTGATTTGTTTGCCCATGTCAAGAATTGACGTGATAATTGGCATAGATTGGTTGTCTACTAATAGAGTGACATTAGACTACAATAGAAAGATAGTTTCATTACCAATGTACATGGCAACTATAGCAAATGATAAGACTGCATTGCTTGTACTTTTTACTACTCCGAAGACTCCTAAGTTTCTATCAGTGATACAAGTGGAGAAATTAGTGAGAGAGGGATGTCAAGCCTTTATGGTGTTCTACTCAATACACGGAGTGTATAATAGAGCATTAGACAAAATTGGAGTTGTTAATGAGTTTCTTAAGGTGTTTGTAGACGAAGTGTCAGGTTTGCCACCAGAGAGAGAAATTGAATTCTCAATCGACTTCATACTTGATACTGAGCCCATCTCTAAGGCTCTGCATTGGATGGCTCCAATGGAATTGAATGAGCTTAAGAAGCAACTAGAGGAGTTATTAGAGAAGGGATTGATTAGACCTAGTGTTTTCACCTTGGGGTTCGCCTATTCTATTTGTTAGGAAGAAAGATGGTAGCATGAGATTGTGTATAGACTACTGGCAACTGAATAAGGTGACAATTAAGAATAAGTATCTGTTACCCTAAATCAATGACTTATTAGATCAGTTAGCTGGAGTAGCAGTATTCTCTAAGATTGACTTGAGATTCGGCTATCACCAATTGAGAGTGAAAATGGATGACATACCATAGACTGCTTTTAGATTGAGATACAGGCACTATGAGTTTTTTGTTATGCCTTTTGGACTGACTAATGCACCCACGATCTTTATGGATTAAATGAATCGAATCTTTAGGCCTTGCTTGGACAAGTTCATAGTGGTCTTCATTGATGATATCTTAATATATTCAGTTGATAAGGAAGAACATGCTAAGCACTTGCAAATTGTGTGTAAATTCAGAAAGAGAAGAAGCTTTATGTAAAGTTGAGAAAATGTGAGTTTTGGTTATGTGAGGTAAAGTTTTTAGGCCATTGTAGTGTCGGTAGATGGTATTGTAGTTGATCCTCATAAGGTAGATGCGGTTCTACAGTAAGAAAGATTGACCTCTATAATATAGATTTGAAGTTTCTTCAGTCTCGCAGGATATTATAGAAGGTTTATTTAGGGATTTTCCCATATTGCATCTGCTTTGACCAAATTGACTAAGAAAGATCAACCTTTTATATGGACCGACAAGTGTTAAGAGGCTTTCTAAGAGCTAAAGCAGAGATTGATGACTGCACCTATGTTGACTATTCCAAATTCGAAATGGCCATTTGTGGTGTATGCAGATGCTTCATTTAAGGGTCTTGGATGTGTTCTAATGTAAGATGACAGAGTTGTGGCATATGCTTTGAGATAATTAAGACCACAAGAAGAGAAATATCCTACCTACATCTTGAGCTTGCGACAGTGGTGTTTGCGCTTAAAATATGGAGACATTACATTTATGGTGCATAGTTCAAGGTGTACAGTGACCATAACACCTCAAGTATCTAATTGATCAGAAAGAGTTGAAGATGAGGCAGCGAAGATGGATGGAGTTCTTGAAGGACTAAAATTTTAAGTTGAAGTACCATCCTGGTAAGGCTAATGTAGTAGCTGATGTATTGAGCCAGAAGATGCTACACGTAGCATTCTTCATGATGCAAGAGCACAATATGCTAGAGGATTTCTCTAATGAGCACAAAAATGTTCCTGATTTCATGTCATACAACGTGAATGTCACGGTGATTATAAGTGAGTGCTGAAAAGAGTTGAGAAAAGTACAATTAGAAGATGAGTACTTGTTAGAAATCAAGGAGGACATTGAGAAAAATCAAACGATGGTTTTTAGCTTCAATAATGATGGTTTTGTGTTGTATCATGACCGTATGTGTGTTCCTTATGATAAGGAGATTAAAGAGATCATTTTATTAGAAGCTCTCAGGAGTAAGCTAACAATTCACCCTGATGCCACTAAGATGTACTAAGATATGAAAAAGCAGTGGTAGTGGCACAGAATGAAGTGAGATGTGACTGAGTTTGTTTTTAGATGTTTTATATGTCAGAAAGTCAAGATAGAATACCAGAAGCTGAGGATCTGAGCAGTTGATGAAAAGATAATATTTGAAACTGGTGCCTTTATCAGTACCTGATGCCCAGTAAGCATCCAAAGATGTGTGATCAGAATATCGTGGATAAAGAACAAGGTTTCCGTCACCTTGCATCCAAAGCTCGAACCTTCCAGAAGATTGGTTGGTGTCTAATGAACTAGACAACAATTGACCCCCTAACATAGTATCAGTTGGGTAATCGAAACTCTGCCAGAGGATGTTGGAATTTTTGTTTTGCAGAACAAAGTTTCCAGAATCAAGCATGGAAGCGAAGTAAACAGTTCCATTGTTACTATCAGCAATAATAACCTCCTTTTGCCCTGGACTTGTTTGCAGAAGAAGCTCACCATTTTTGGCTAGAACAAGCCCTGCATTTGAGGAGACAAGAGGGTCGTTACAATTTGCAGTCCAGACGATTGTATAATTGTTCCCGTTGAACAACAGAATTCCAACTTTGAAGCCATTGTAGCCTTGCTTGCAGAAGCCAAATGCGATTATGCGAATCGGCCAGAAGGTGAAGGCCATGAAGTAGGAGGAACAGTGGGGGAAAGTGAAGAGCCAAGTGGTATATGCTCTGAAAACATTGTTTCAGCAGATCTTGCACATAGAAAATATACCAAAAAGAGAAGGTAGATGTTTGATGCAATGGTGGCCATAATCTCATCAAAGTCTTCGAAGTCTTCCCCGAAAGTGTTGAGAAGTTGCCAATCTGTCATTTCCTAACTGTGCCTTGACCTTTTTCAAGAGAGGAAAATTGGCCAATTAAGGATGGTCTGCGCGTGAAATTCCAAATTAAGAATATTATTTGTACGATTTTTTAATTTAGATAATCCTTTTTTTGACTGAATAATTTAATTATTGCAGAATGTTCAGAGATGATTTTTTAATTTAAAAAAATTGCACGGTAATTTTTTCCCCATTTAAATTTCATATGCATAAAATAAATATAAAAAAATATTTTATTTGTTTAACTTTAAAATTAATACTTATTTATATTTTCGTTAATTTTTTTTATTGATGATGAAATTATTGTATTTATCAGATCTTTTTTATAAGTTATTTTTACGAACCTCATTAATACTAATGTAAAAATAATATAAAAAATAAAAGTATGTAAAATTTTAAATATACTACCATATATATATAATAAATTTAAAAAGTAATCTTATATTTTTTCTTTTGTTAATAAAAAATAATTTTAAAAATATTTTTTAAATATTATTTAAAATATAGTCTCATAGCTGATAAATAAAATTAAATTAATTTTTTAAAATGTACTTTAAAAGTGGAGTCTTATAGATGGAGTCGAGAGTATTTTGTTATTTAATTTTAACTAATTTAAAGAAATTGACTTGGTCAAAGGCTGCCCATCATTGAGTAGATGCAATGGAAGTCGTAATTTCCGTCGTTGTTTACTGAATTGTCAGAGCATCGTAGTTTTGCGTCACAACTTGTTTTAAAAGGCATCCTTCTCTGAACACTGAACCTTTGACGTTTTGCGTCGCAATTAGTTTCACAGGCATCAAGGCTGTACCTCCCATGACAGGTGTTTTATTCAAATTTAATATTTTTTTACTTTTAATTTATTAAAATAAAAAATTATAAAAATTGTAGAAATTTTAATAGACTTATTTATCAACCTGCACAGTCTAAATTTAATACAAGTAATTTTATAAATTTTTTATTTTAAAAAATTTAAAACAAAAATATTTAATATTTAATATGTACCTTCTATATTTAATTTAGTTGATCCAAATCTGCGCACCATTATGGAGGTGGCTTTAGAGAAGCTAACTCCTAATAGGTAAAGAAAGAATTTTTTTTATTTTATTTATAAATTGTATTATTAAATTTTTATTATATATTTTTTCTGTTGATTAAGTGTTAGAGAAAGAAAGTATAGTGTTAAAGAAAGGTTTTGAAAATTGAATCAAACCGGTCGATTTGACCGGGAACTAGTCTCTGGTCTGGTTCGCGTGAAACAATAAAATTGGTGCTACAATGAACCGATAAAAAACCAGCAAATCGGTGGAAACTTGGGGGGAAAAAAAAGGCCAACGGTTTGCAAGGAAACCGGTTAAGGTGATGAAGTCTTTTTTTTTTTTTTAAGGAAAAAAAGATGTAGAAACTGAGAAAGATGATAAAATGCAGAGAATAGCAACCAAAAAAAAAAAAGTTATCTTGCTTCAGACATCCACTTTAAAAGCGTTCCCTTGGTCACAAAAGTGTCAGATCTGTCTTGAGATAACCAGATTCGTAAAAAATCTTATACCTCAAACGCATACCCATGGCGGTCAAGGGAGAAGAAGAAACAAGATGTATAGTGAGAGGAAAGAAAGCGAAGGCGACGTTTCAGTTTGACGTTTTGAATATTATAAAATGATCATCGTTCCTCAAACCATGTGCAATTACTAGATTTAATATTATTGATTAATGATTAATTAATTCATATTGAAGAGTAGAAGTGGAGGCTGGAAGGGCTTGAAGAAGAACAAAAGGCTTGACCGGAAAACCGAACAACAATGATAGGGAAAGTCAAAAGTTGAGAAGTGAAACCAATAGGGCATGCTACGTTAAAATGCAGGAAATGTTTTTTTTTTAAATAAAAAAGTAATATATTAAATTGTAAATAGGAAAAATAATTTTTTATTATATATTATTTATTAAATTTGAAATATATTTTACTATAATTTAAATGTTTATATCTATATCTATAATACATAAAAATATTGTAAACAAGTTTTATCAAAGTAGATAGATAATGATATACATTTCAGTTTATTTTAACATTAGACTTTTTATATTTTATTATATTAAAAATTAAAATATATTAATTTAATTATAAATGGTTTGATTTCAATTCAACTACAATTAAATTATTGGATCGTGAATCAATATTTTAATATGTTTAATGATTAATTTAATTTTTAAAATTTTATATTAAAATATATATATTTAAAAAGTATAACGTTGAGTTATTAAATTTTTAAAATAAATTAATAAATTTTAAAATTTTTAATTTAAATAAAATATATTAAAAATAATATGTAAATAAAAATGGAAGCACAAGAGTATCCTATTGACATCAAAGTCAAAGATACGTTTTGGCAATGCAATAATATTGGGGTAACAATCACGCATGACCGTGTGACTTTTCTTATCAAAGTGATTCTCCGTTTTGTTTTTCAAGGGTGCGTTTAAAAAACTTACTTTTCACATTTGAAAAGTTATTTTTTACTTTAAAAAAGTCAAATACTATTTAAGGTCATTTATGATATATATAACTAAGAATGAAAATAGATCAGGTCAGGTTAAACTTTAGCTAAATAAGCCTGCGCCTATGTAATAGGCTAGAGGCCTTAGCCTGGCCAAGCTTTAGCTAAATAAGCCTGTGCTTATGTCATAGGCTAGAGGCCTTAGCTTGGCCTTTAACCTATATAAGACTTTTTATATGGCTCAAGTCTAAGCCTACCAAAAGTCTGCACGGTCTGAAAGCCTATTTAAAAGTATGCCTTTTAAATAAACCTATTTTTAAAAGCTTGAAAGGCCTTAAATAGGCTTAATCTACAATAACATAATTTGATTAAAATTCAAAAATAATATAATCTAATTAAAATTCAACAAGCAAGAAAAAACAAACAAAGAACAAAAAAAAACATCAAGTAACATCAACAATAATGTCATAAATAGAAATATGTTGTAACAAGATGAAATCCAAAAAGAAAAGCTAATAGTTTTTTAGCAATATAAGCCTAGCAACAACTAGAAGCCTTGAACACTCAAATGCAAAGTGCAACACCAATTAAATTTTCAATAGTATCACTTCCTGTGGATCCTACATAATGAAAAAATCAATTAATAATAGTGATATATTAGAATACTTGTCCAAAACAACCACTAAAAAAATTAATATATTCAAGGGTCTTACCTTTTGTTTTCTCTTCAACTTATATTTATTACGCAGCCAATCTCTACCACATATGAGAACTTTAATGGACTCTTCATTCAGTTTAGCACGATATTCATCAATTATCCTACCTCTGGCACTAAATGTAGATTCTAATGCCATAGTTGAGATAGGAACAGCTAATATATCAGATGCCATCCTTGATAAAACTTTAAATTTGGAACTATTGCTCTTCCACCAATCCAAGGCACAAAAAGAAGTAGTAGAATCAATAGAAGGAATATAAGGATCATTCTCAAGATAAATTTCTAACTCTGATCTGGTAAGAGGAACTGAACGCCTTTGACGCACCATTGATAACATTCATTGCATTCCTGTATTATCTCTTCTTTGTTCAGTAACTTGTGAAGTGACAATGCCATCAACATTCACACCTCTAACATCTAAGGATGGATCTTCTTTACACAACTCCATATATTCATTATACAAATCATGCAATGCCTTTTTTACCTTCTCAATATTTTGCTTAGCCTCACTTTCTGATTTATATATCAATGGGAAGCTTATCTCAATAACATTTAATTTAATCCTTAGATCCAAAACACTTGTAATAGCCATCAACAAATTGCATTCTCCCCAATATTTATCAAATTTGTCTTTCATAGGTTGTGCCATTTCTCTAATGAACAAATTTTAGTCATCTGACGCATCATCAATTATTTGTTTCACTCTATGGACTTCAACAAGATATAAGTTAGAGGTAGGGTATTCACTACTTAAAATGATATTTGTGGCTTCATTGAACACTTCCAAAAGTCGACAAACTTTCTCAATCTTCACCCATTCCTCATTTTCAGGAGCATAAATATAGTGTGGCTCTTTTTGATGATAATCTGCAAAGGCATGCTTAAATTTCATGGCAATTATCAACATTAAGAATGTAGAATTCCATCTTGTAGGGCAATCAAGAATGAGTTTCCTTTCTTTCAAGCCCTTTAACTCAACAATTTCTCAAAATGATTTCAACCTTGCATCAGAGGCATTAACAAACTTAAAACTTTCACAGACTTTGTAAATGATGTCCTTAATCTTATTAAGGCTGTCTTGCACCAACAAATTTAATATATGAGCACAGCATCTAACATGAAATAATTGTCCATCAAGCACCAACTTGTTGTTCAATGACAAATTTTCTTTCAAATTTTGAATGCATGAGTCATTATAAGAAGCATTGTCAACAGAAATAGAGAATACCTTATTTTCAATACCCCATGCTCTCAAGCATTTGAATATTGCATTAGCTACATCCACACCTTTCCTTGGAGCTGGCACTTTAACAAAGTTCAGTACTTTCTTTGAAGATTCCAATTTGCATCAACATAATGGCCTGTGATAACTATGTATTCAGCTACTTGGTGACTTGACTTCCACATATCTGTTGTAATGCTAAACTTTGCTCACACTCTCCAAATTGTTCTTCAAGACTTTTTTCTTAGCCTCATATAATGACAAACAATCATTTCTTGTTGTTTTGAGAGATACTTTTTTAAAATCTAGATTTTCATATTCAAAGGCCCAACACAAGACTTCATCTTCCACCATGCTGAAAGGCCGCTCATGCACCATGATTGTAGTAGCTAAGATTTCTCTCATTTTTTTCACTAGAATACTTCAAACCAGGAACAATGA